GTCATGTGAGGTTGAAATATTAAACATGTGAGGTCGAAACATTAAATATGCTGAAAGACTAGAATCTAGGTGAGCAAGATGGAAAAAGTAATTGTTCAGATGTGGAATAATGTAAATTCATAGTAAGTTTAGATGAAATGATGAAGAAAAAAGATTAATGGAGAGGAATGTAGTTTGAAAGAAAACAGAAAAATTGAAAATGAAGTTTTGACCTAAACGGTTAAGTCGTGATGCAAAATAATTTTGGTTTGATTTAAATTGAATTTCAACTCTAATTTTACATGTTTAATTTTCATATAATATGGTATTAACCCGATCGAAATATCTCTTATTAAAATACGTTTATTTCGTATCAAAATCACATCATATATTAACATGTCATGATCTCTACAATACAACCCGTATGGCCGATGTCGGTAATATAATTCTAGAAACCTCTTTTAAGTTGTAAGTTGTAACATCGTAGTTTTTGGTTATCGCTCGATTTGCTCACCACGCACCCATTGAACGCAGATTAATCAAGTCTGAAACCCCAAAACTAAACTCCGAATTCTGGTGTTCCTCATTAGAATCGTTCAATTCTGCGAAAGGTATCTCTCTAGGGTTTTAATTTGATATACGACGATGTTTCCACTTTCCTGTATGCCTTTATGTCGGTTCTAGTTCGACTGGGTTTTGATTTTCTATTTATTACGGCCTGTTGCACGATTTCATATCCGTTTGGATTCTTATATGCTTATTACTGCTTTTTACGTAAAAAATCATGTTGGTGATCTTCGTGTTTATGACTTCATATCGATCCATTTTAGGAAACAGAGGCTTGGTTTTAGTTTTTGTTAATCAGAAATTGGTAACTGTTCTTTCTTAATCATTAAATCCGCTTGTTCGCTTTGCTTAATTGTCAGATCTTCCGATTAGAATAAGAAACAATTCATGTTGCTAAATACTAATGGTAGGGGAATGGTTATGCTAGTACTTTAATTTCATGTTTGGTGTTCATATTATTTACTTGTTTGAATTGTTCAGAGAATAGTTTGAAGAAGATGCAAGGTGGAAGAGGAAGAGGAAGAGGAAGTGGAAGAGGTAATCCTTTCTTTGGTTTTGGTGATCCTTTTTCTGGTTTTGGGGGTATGCCTAGCTTATTTGGAGGAAGAGACCCATTTGATGATCCTTTCTTCACACAACCATTTGGTGGAATCTTCCCGGGGAGTCCTTTCATGGACTTGAATCCATTTGGACCAAGCTTATTTGGTCCAAGAGCAAGCCCTTTCATCGATCAACAACCACCCAGAATTCATGAAACCAGACCTTCATTCCCAAACAACTCAAGGGGACCAATCATTGAAGAACTGAACTCTGATGATGAAAATGAGCAACCTGATGATGAACACAATAAGAAAGAGAATCCTGGAACACATTTTAGGTCTGAGATACAACCTTACATTGAGCATCCTGATGATGAATTTGAAGGTGGAGAAAGAAGGGGGAGACAATTCGGGAATGATTTCAGTATTATGAATAATAACACACACAATCATCCACAAACACATAGTTTCACCTTTCAGAGCTCTACTGTAACGTATGGTGGCTCTAATGGAGCATACCATACTTCCTCTACAACCAGAAGGAGTGGCAGTGATGGAGTAAGTAACACCAACACCAACACAAACATGTTCTTGAATTTCTTTCTCTTTTTGTATTCTTATTCTTTATTTTTATGGTATTTCAGCTGAGATTTGAAGAATATAAAGAAGCTGATTCAGTCACAGGGGAGGCAGCTCATAGGCTTTCTAGGGGTATTCATGACAAGGTAATTTTGATTGCTTTAAATTTAATAGGAAGAAATGAAAGTAGGATGCTGTAATGAATTCTTTTGTTTATTTTGATGAACAAAATTTTTATGATGGGTAGGGCCATACGCTAGCAAGGAATCTGAAATCAGATGGTAAGGTGGATACAATGCAGGTTTTGCACAACATCAATGAAGGTACATATATGATATATGATTTATATATATATATATATATATATATATATATATATATATATATATATATTTTGTAAATTAGCAATGTAAATGTACCAAGGGTAAAAATGTATTTTTCTTTGGGCATGTGTTGGTAGATGAGGTTGATGGGTTTGAAGAGGCTTGGAAAGGAAAAGCTAGGAAGCATTTACCTGGCTGGATTGGTGGACCGAGTATTAATGAAGGTAACTGAATATGTAATTTTTTCTTTCAAGATGAGTTTATTTCCAGTTTATTATATAAGATGAGTGGTGTTTGACTAATTGACTTTTAGGGTTGGGTGAGGGAAGCAGAAGCAGAAGGGCACTGCCTTCAACAGAGGGCACAAGGGGACATGAGGTAAGCTCCTCTGTAGTGGGTGTCAGAAGGAAACCAGATGCTGCTGAACATGCACAGTCTTCAAAGATCAGAAGACAATGAGACGAATGTAATAGTTGAGCTAATATTAGCTCAACTGTTACACTACTTTCCAAGACTGAGATTATTAAGAGAGCCAACATTTGTATTTTATGTGTATTATGGCATGAATGTTTGTGGCTTTTCATCTGTTGGGCTCAAAAACGTTGAATGAAAATATGCTATAGAAATTTAGGAAAAAAAAATGTTTTTTTAGTTTTGCATATTGAGAAAGGGAAGTTTGATTTTTTTTTTTTTAAAATAACTTACAAGGATATTCACAGTACTCGCCTCCCAACAAAAGTTGTATGAGCAATGGCAGGTTAGAATGTGTAATGTGGATATTACAATTTTTCTTGTTAATTTCTAGAAATATCGGTATATATATTATTACTTAGTAAAAGATATTTGGCTTCTAGGTTCCAACATTGCATAGAAGAAGCTCATCACTGAATGATCTCCTTCAAGGTAAATGTGGGAAAAGAAACATGCCATATGGATGTAAAGAAAAAAGAAGCGATTATAAGCTAGTAAATATTGCACGTAACGCAAACATTGAAAACGTGTATTACCAATAAAACACGACATACATACTAGCAACCGACTACCTTAGTGGCCTATAGGGTAAGGCATTCAATGTTCAAGCTTTAGCGTGTAGAGTTGATCAGGAGGAGGTATGTATGTGATATACTTTGGTGTCTAAGCATATCCCAAAGGGCCAGTCTTCTCTCAGCATTGCAAAAGCAGAGAGTGCAATGGGCCAGTCTACCAATATAAGCAAAATGTATAGGTGGGACATTGGACCACTAAATATGGAGTACTCTAATCTAAGCCTCCACCACCTCTTATTTGGGGTCACATCCTAGTAAAAACAAACCTTTTTCAAGTCTAACCGCACAATATCTCCTCACTTATTTCTTAAGTGTCTTTTTGTAATCACAATATCAAAATTGACTGTCTCCATCTTCCTCACCCCAGTTGTGTGTTTTCTCGGATGAACATGTTCGAACCATTGTAATTTTCAGGTGATTAGTGTCACTTCTAATGATTGTCAGGTTCGATATCATTTGCAACAAAGTTCTACCACCAACAGTAGACAAAATGTAACGGGAAGCATGTCGGAAAAATTGCACTATGCAAAAAAAAAAAAAAAATCGAAGAATTTCCATGACCTCCATTTTGCTCACAATAAGGTTCGCCACTGGTTGTCGGTTGATGCAACATCCTTATTTTCATGACCTCCATCGTCATCTAGTGCTCCTTCTTGATTGTGCAACATTTGGATCTATACAACAAAGATGCCTATCCTTATCTACTTCTACTACTTCACCATTTTGCTCAATGAAATTGAATAATAAATACTTTGTCTAAAATATGTTCGTCGTGACCCTTTTTCTTCCGATGACCTCTTCCATGTACCAACCTAATATTTAACTTAGTCTTAGACTCTGTCATCAATACAATGTTGTGGGCAAAAAACATACACCAAGGTATCCTCCATAGATTTTACGAGAGATCTCATCCATAATCAAAGAAAATATATAATGACTAGGAGATTGATTTTTGATGAAACACGATTTCTGCTAGGAACGAATAAAACAAATACGAGGCGGTCCCCAATCGTTTCCTTATGACTGATATTATAGTCCTTCCCCATGTCGATGGACATCATGTCGAGATCCTTCTCTTTCTCTATATTTATCCATTTGGTGTATCAATATGCAGATTGTCTCTATGGTCAACCTTCGGTGCATGAAACATGAAATTTTGATTTCGAGAAAGTGTTGTTTCATTTTTAGCCTACCTTTGATGAGTCTTTTACACTTCATGGTATATGACTAAGTAGTTTGATACGTCTATGGTTGCTATAGCTTTGGACATAACATTTTTTTAGATATCGGTATCATAGTACCGGATTTGTACTCATACGATATCTTGAGCGGCTTTTAGATAATGTTAACAAGATACAAGATAATGTTAACAAGATACATGAGTAACTATACCTTTTCTTCCTAAGCACAACAACAAGAGATAAGACTTTTATATGGGCCAATGACTTTGTCTCTCCATTCTCTATTGGTGATTTTAGTGTATCGGGACATTTTGTATAATTGGAACTTACATGTGAGTTAAGAGACTTTGAAATTTGTACTTTAATATATGTTTGGTTGGGTATGTGCGGAGTGCACACATATATAAGATCGAATTAGAAACTAGTTTGACGACAAGTCAAAGGTTTGGGGTAGCAACCCCGGGTTCGGGGTCTAGGGGCAACACTCCTAGCGGGGTCCAAGGGGCACAACGCCTGGCAGGTCAGCGGGCAAGGTTGAGGGGCAACGTCCCCGCGGGTTTTGGGGCAACGCCCCAAAATGTCTTCAGATTTTACTTATAGGTACATAGTGGAAAAATCGGATTCGTAAGGGTGATTATGGTAAAACTAACTAAGTCAATTTTGAAAACCATTAATTTCCTCATTAATTCCGGATTCCTTTGACTTGTTACCAAAGGAACCCATGGCGGCTAACCCTAAAACGAAACCCTACATCTCGTTTTCTATATAAATGGTTATCATCTTTGAGGATAAGAGATCACTTTTTTTCTCTCGTTTTTCTTCATCCGAACTAGAATTCTCTAGCGATTTGGTTTACGTTTTTCTGTACCTAGATTCGTAATTGTCCTTTGAGATTATCGAAGGGGTATCTAGAACTCCGTTATAAACTCTACCCATATTTCTAAGATTCTCCCTTAACGTCCTTTCACTTCACCACTTACAAACTACATGTGGGCACTCCCTTTATAAGTGCGACGATTTCGTTTAATGCTCATCATATTTTTTTATCCCTGTCCTGCGGAGGAACCTCGTTTGATTAAGAATGAAAATAATTAAATCATCACTATCGTCTATGGTTGCGATATATAAGAAAAATAAAAATAAAATCGACTTTGTATTAAAATTCGGTATTGCTGTTGAATTTAGGAACATGAACGTTTAGCTTCCTCAAGAGCGCTCGATGGCGGCAATCAGAACCATCGCCACAAGTTTCTTCCAGTCTTCATCGTTATCAACCTTCATTCGTACCTGTAGCACACATGGTCCGCGCATCCGTCCTCCCATCTGCTTTATTACCCGTCCAATCAGCTACGCTCCAATCCGATGTGCGGCAGCGTCAGATTCCGGCGGCGGTGGCCATAAGAAGGCTTCGGCACGGATGTCTCAGGTTCATCAACTCTTGCACGAAGCTGAGGAGAGAGCTGCCGGCCACAATGAACCTATCCCAACGATTACTTTAGGTATAACTTAACAATAACATCAAAACCTCAAAATTTCAGTTAACACTTGAATAAATGGTTTTCTGTCTTCTCCGTTTGTGTCGTGAATTCAATTGAATGTATCGATATACCCGCAGGATGAGTATGTTGCAATTTCGCATTGCCTTATCATTGAATTTTGAGATTTGAATAATCCCAATGATGTTTCGAGTTCTTCGATGCTCGCTCCATTTAAACCCTATACCTAACTTCATTACTTTCAACTCTGTGATCTAGATCATGTCAGTGTAAGCTTTGCTAGGAGTGGTGGGCCTGGAGGTCAAAATGTTAACAAAGGTGTACTATCTTCCATATCTTTCAAATCAATTACATTTACCTTTGCAAACTTACTACATCCTTTACCTTTAGAATGCCAACATTATTGTTTTATATAATCTTCTCACTTGCAGTGAACACCAAGGTTGATATGAGGTTTAACATTAAAGATGCATATTGGTTAAGTGAGAGAGTGAGAGATAAGATCTTGCAGATGGTTAGTTTGCTACTACTTTTAATCTCTCTCCCTCTTTTATTTTTTTTATACTTTGGTTATGATGTCTTAAAAGGAAACATGTTCTTTAATCAGGAAAAGAATCGAATCAACAAAGATGGGGAGCTTGTGATTTCTTCAACAAAAACCAGAACACAAAAGTTAAATTCTTTCCACTACACTTTCAATATGTTCTTAATGTGTTCATAAACCAAACATTATTACATACTTAAAAGTTAAAACAAATTGCTTCTTCAGGGGTAATATCCAGGATGCATTGGAGAAACTTCAGGTATTAAATATCAATATGCTTTAAAATCTTTCTTTAAATATAAATTCTTTGTTTAACAAAAATGATTACAATAGGAAATCATTAATGCTGCATCTTACGTCCCACCACCCCCATCACAAGAACAAGTAAAGAAAATCAACAAAATGTAAGTCTTTTATTTTTCTTGTATTATATTTTACAAAGAGCTTCAAGTTTCTTTTTCGTTTTTTCATATAGAGCTGCTATATCAGAGGCAAAAAGGTTGCAGAGTAAGAAGGTCCTTTCACAAAAGAAAGCATTTAGAAGAAGCAAAGACAGTTATGACTAAAAATTATTATGTAAGATTACTACTCCCATAAATTACTATTTTAGGTATCTAAAGATTATTGAAAAGAATACAAAAAAAACTTCACATAGAAAGCGTATTTGCTAATCGAACACTTTCATTGTGAGGAATTAGGCGAACTGGTAGACCATTACTCGGGGTAGGAGATGAATGGAAGATTATCTTTTCATTTGGCATGAGTTTTTCTAACCTAAATCTTGTTACAACATTATGCATAAACACAAGTACTTCTAATCGGGCATACTCTTTACCCGGGCACATCCGTGGGCCCCCTCCAAAAGGCACAAACGTGTATGGAGCGGGCCCGCTTCCTTCAAATCTTGACGGGTCAAATCTTTCCGGATCCGGGAAATACTTTGGATTTTTGTGTGTTGTATGCACCATCCAAAATGTCTGAAAAAGGTTCCAAAAAATTATTGATATTATAATAAGAATATGGAGAATAAGGTGTAAAGTTGGATGCTATAATAAAGAAGTCAATGAAATACATTGCTATTTCTTGCATTTAACTGGTGAAAAGAAGGTGAATGTTACATTACCTTCCATCCCTTTGGAATAGTGTAACCCGCATAGGTGAAATCAGTGATAACCTCTCTAAAAGAGCCTTGAGCAGGTGGTATAAGCCTAAGTGCTTCTCGTGCCATATTCCATGAATACTTCATCTTTTCTATATCTTCCCAACTTAACAACTCACCCGGAGCTTTTGATTCCACAATCGACATTTGTTCTACATTTCAACGTATAATTTTGTAACATGAAAAAAGTGCAAATAGAACGCTATAATAAACAAATCAATGAAAGTGGTTTTTGCAAATTTCACAAAAGAGTTATAAATCATCACATCAATCCAATCCACATTGGAATTGAAACTCTCGTACTGAAGTTATTGATTCTCAATTTGCTTTTTTGAAATTGAGGATTACCTTTTAAAACTTTCTCATAGACTTCGGGAATTTCTGCGAGATACTTCAAGACGAAAGTAACCATACTGCTTGTGGTCTCATAGCTCGCGACTAACAAACCAATAATACTATTTGAAATCTCCATATCGGTCGTAAACTCGCCATTTTCATCCTTCATAACTAACATTTGAGATAACAAATCTCCCTTCAAATTTATATCTTCATTTTTCATTATTTTCTTCTTTCTTTCCACAATAATATTCATAAGCTCATCGCGTACCAACTTCCCACCTTTAATTGCACCGTTATAAGCGGTCCCCGGGAAATTTATAGGCATTGAAAACATCCCATTTGTGATAAGGGTAAAATGGTCCGCCAGCTTTTCAACGTGTTTTTCATCCTCTATGCTCATGAAAAGTTTACACGCTAACGCGAATGTATACTTTTTAGACAAAGGGAAGATACTAACTTCCCTGTATGGCACCCAGTCATTTTCCAAGTGACTGCGTGTCATACAATCCATTTCAGATATGTACCGTTTTAAAGCTTCGGGCTTTAAGATATCACGGATAAAGTTACGTTGGAGTGATGTCACCTCCTTCACCGGATTATTAACAAACTCCGGGAAGAGTAATGCCTTTTTCATGGATTCCGGCCACCATGATGTGAGGAGCTTGGTCTCGTTTGTGAAGAGGAATTTATGGCCGTGGGCCCCGCAAAACACCGCCATTTTTTCTCCTAATAGAGATGTTTGGAAAACGTCTTGTGAGTATTTTTTCATTCTTTGTGAAACGTATGTTTGAGCACCCAACATTGCAAAATCCATGTTTTCACCGATGAATGGCCATCCACTTGACCCGGGTAGATTTGTTTCTTGTTTTTTTGTGGTTTTTTGATGGATTTGAAGAAAAAGAAAGATGGAAATTGGAAGAATTAAAAGGGGAAGTAGATATGTTGTCAAGGTTTCCATTATTTATTTTTCTTGTGATGATCACCAAGAAGAAGATGAACATGTGAATACAACTCTTCATGAAGGTGCTTTATTCACAAATCAGCACATTATAAGACAAGAAAAAGAATATTAATTGTAATTAATTTTATAATTTCTATATTTCAGCAACTTGTATGTTGACAAAATTTGGCATTCCCATCAAAGTTCAGATATTAAAAGTTAAGGGAGAAAGACAAAATAATACGTTGAATGATAAAGGTATAAAATAAAAACTGAAATTCGTTTTTCTCATCGTGGGTATGCAGGATGCTTCAACTGAAAATACAACTCTTCATGCATCGTGAATATGTTTCTATAGATGTACACTACAGTGAATCTGAAAGAGGGGAATTGTTACACATGTATATGTAGTAAAGCCTAAAGCTGGTATTCGAGTTCTGTATACAAGCAATAAAGCGTTATGCATGTATGCATATAATAAAGCTTAAAGTAGGTCTACAAGCAATAATGCAAGCAGATATAAAAGCAAGAAAGAGTTCAACATGTATACATGAAATAAAGCATAAAACATGTATACAGAAAAACGTTAAGTAGGTATACATACAAAATACAAAAGAACATAAAACATATATACATACCATTTATAAATATGATAAAGCATACAACATTTCTAGTGACCGGATTTGTATTAAAACCAAAATTACGTCTCTTATTTTGAAAGAAGCATCATGTATTCCATATTTAGGTTAGGGAGATCTCGGGTTGCCGGGTTGGATACCCACCATTGTTAATATTGATGACCCTAAATTGGACAGCATTGTAAATTGTAATGAGAATCAAGAGAGAACGATGGGTATGGTGAAAATAGGCCAATTCCACTTTCTCAATGATTAATATTGATGACCCTAAATTGGACAGCGTTGAAATGATTTAATTGTTTTGATAAACAAAAGTGGTGAAAATAAAGGTTTTTAATGAATATAATGTCAAATAAGAAGAAAAGGAGCTTAATTGTGTCAGTTTTGTATGAAGAATGACTTAACTTTCTTGGGATTTAAATTTTAAGAAACTCATGTATTCTTTGTATATTTTCAAACTCAAGTTTTTACAGGAGCCAGGCCCAACCTAGTGTCAAAGTGAAAGAGGGTGGATCATCCATGCTTTGCCTGATTTGTACCGATGAGAGGAAGAGCTTCATCACGTTAAAAATTAACCATGAATTTGAAAAGTGCAACTTTATTTATTATTATTTTTTTTTGGGAAATAGACTTGTTAAGTTAATTAAGTTTTCAGTTTGTTCACACCCATAACTATTTTTTTTTTTACATATCTAAGTAATGAACTTTTTAAAAATGTTCAAATATGTACAAAAAAAAGTTACCCAGAAGTAAGAGTAAATTACACAAATGGTCTTCGTGGTTATGGTAATTTGTACATTTAGTCCCTAACTTACCTTGTAACTCGGATGATCCCTACTATTTATTTTTATTGTGCGTTATTCATTGTCTTACCTCAAAAGACTATTGTGTCATTTTTAATTTATTTTTTTATTTATGTATTTATTTTTTAAATATTAAAAAAAAATTAATAGGCCCTACATAGCATCACTCACAACCCACTCTCTCTCCATTCTCTTCATTGAATTTTCCACTTCCGCAACCCAATAGAATGGTTGTAGTGATGGTTCCTTTTTTTTAGACAAAAAATAGGTTTAAAAATTGTTTTTTTTTGTTCTTGAACTTGCTATTTCTTTTTTTAATATTTTTGAAAAACAATAGATTATTCGAAAATTTTAAACTTTCAAATTATTTATTATGTCATATATACTTTGAAATAATATAATAGAAATGTGAAATGGAAAAAACCCAATCTTTTTCGATAAAATATCAAGATTTTTCAAAATGATGGAAAGAAACAAGAGAAAAAAAACATTTGAAAATGAAAATATTGTTAGAAAAACATTTTCTAATTGACAAAAAAAATTGATTATTTTCTATGAACTTTTCTAAAAAACTAGTCAATGAGATGAATATCTTTTAATTTATTTCTAAAAGTCCAAAAAATGAAACTAAAAAACTTAGCTAAAAGTACGTCAAATGGGTTAAATCTTGTTCAAAGTATGTTTCTTTTAATAATTATTTGAAATCAATTCCTACCTCCCACTACAACTTCGAGATTTAAGGGAGAGGGTTCGTATTTGACGATATATTAAACAAAAAATTTCGGAACTGTTGTGGACACTTTTCTCATGGCCAACCCTTAATTGAAAGGGAAATATACATAAAATCCTTGTAATATGTTTGGCTCTATTGACAAAAGAGTCATCATTAATTTTATTATTATTATTATTATTAATTTTTTTTTTTTTATAGTTTAACCATTAAAACCGGTAAACATTTGCAAAAAAAACTTTGTACCTAGTTAATGCCACTTTTAAGAGTTAAATTGGAAAATCATGGATGATTTTTTTGTTAATAGATTAAAGTTTAAGTACTTTGCTTGAAATTTCTTTTTTAATTTATACTAAAGTTATTTGAAGAAAAACATATATTTATTTATTAAAAACATACAACAAAGATATTATTTAAGTCCCGTTTACTAAAAAACTAATATATCTATTTCATTAAAAAACACAATAACAATTATTTATATATTATATTTGGGATTTTTCTGTGATTCTTTTTAATACATAATAAATATCGTCATTACAATTATAAAGATACCATCTAAATACAATTCTTAAAAAGAACATCATGATATATGCGATCTAGAAACACACTCCTTACGAAAAATCAACGAAAGTCCTATTAATTGTATTTATGATGTGTTTTTATAATCATTGTACCTCTTATATTAATGTTATTGCCATAAAAACTCTCATATTTATATGAAATGTATGGTTATGTCCTAAGTTCAAATTTATGTTCATTAATGCATCACATTTAGGTAAAAAGAATCATTTTGGGCATTTTACCAGGTTGTATTTTATCAGGTTGTGACCAAATAGTCAGTCACCTGAGAGTTTTTATGTAAATATAAGGGTAACCTTGGTGGCTAAAATGGGACACTTATGTATTTTCATCAGAAGAAGAATATTGACGTTTCAAGGCTTAGAAATCTGAGCGATAATGATCTTCTGAATAAGGGTGGTGTTAAGATGGTGAAGATGATGGTTTTGTTATTGGTGGTGGTGGTGGTTGTGGTGACAGATGGTGGTAAGAGAGTGTGATGGTGGTGGTAGAGACTAATGGTAGTAGACGGTGTTGTTGGTGACAAATGGTCGTGGTGGCGACAGAGTGTGGTGTTGGTGGTGATGTGTAAATATGCGGTCTTTTATGGCAATGGTGACCGACTAAGAGGATATAAAACCTAATAAATGATTAACAATCTTTGATAAGCCTTTAGGAATAATAACCACTAATAAGCCTTTCTTAAGGTATTGTTCAATTGTGAAAGAACATTTGGTAAGTTGTAGTTTTATGGTAAACATTTTACATCCAAATTATAAAAATTCAACAATGAAGTAGTATTTGATTTAGAAATGCACTTCTTACGACAAATCAACAAAGTCATCTTAAGTTATATAGAATATAGATAATATCTTTGTGATTGTAGTAATGATATTTATTAAAAAAAATCACAAAAATTCCAAAAATGATATATAAATTATCATTATTGTGTTTTTTTTGATACACTCTTTATGTGGAATCTTTTTAATAAATAAATATAAATTTTCTTCAAATAAGTTTAATATATATAAAAAAAATCTCCAGAGAAGTCTTTAAACTTTAATCTTATTAACATTTTTTTTTGCAATCTAACCATTAAAACCGTCGTTAACTAGATATAAAGATTCTTTTGCAAGTGTTTACCGGTTTCAATGGTTAAATTGAATAATAATAATAATAATAATAATAATAAATAATGTGACTTTTCTTTTTATCAATAGAATCAAAATATAATGACTTTTATGCAAATTTCCCTAATTAAAGCTCACAAACTTGAATCATCCTCTATAAGGTGCCCAATTGTTACACGAAGAGTACCCTTAATTGAAAGGGAAATCTTACTATCTAATAAACAAAACCAATTTGCTACGTGTCCCTTAAAAAACATTCATTTCTTCCAAAGTTAAATACCTTTTTTGCCCCTATTTTGTTTCAGCTACTTATTCTATAAAATCACGTCATTAAATTAAGACATAACAGTTGTCCATATTTGAAAGGGCGCCCTATTTGAAATACATACCCGATTACTAGCAGCTTTTTATGGTATTCAATAAAATCACATCAAAAAAAACATTAGTCGTCTCCCTTTCTTCCCTTCCGCGCCTCTTCGTTTACAGGATGAAGCAACGACGAATGTTGCTTCCTCAAAGATTTGAAGCAGATACATCGAAGATAGGTATGTTTTCTTTAATAGTTTGCAATTTTGGTTTTCATTTTGAATTGATTGTTGATTAAACCCAACAAAACTACAGATGGGTTAAGTTGAACTGCTGGTCTCCATACCACCGTCTCCATCATCTCCAACGAAAACTCTAAATCTTACAATCCTAAATCGACAATCACCACCGGCTAGATACCGTACCCACCACTACACCCTAGCACACCATGTAACCCCATAACCATCTCACCATCTCTTTCTGTATGAAATATCCAGATACCCTAATGGCAGCACCGCAGCAGGAAGCGGCATATCGGGTATATGTAAATGTATAAATATCTTGCTCTTTTGAAATTGACCTACACCACCATTGCCGTAACTTCATCATTCTCTGTTTTTGCTAATCTAATGTTTGATTTTGTCTAATTTCATTAGTTTTTTTATATATATACGAAGTCCTTTCTTCATTTTATACGAATATTTATGTCTTTTTACTGAATCTTAGTGTTTTTCTTCTTTGAAATGAAGGTTAACAGTGTGACACTACATTACTATGTTGCTGATAGTGTCATCTTACCTCTCTATGTTGCTGGTAAGATGGCATTTTGTGGCATGTTGTGTTTAGAATCAGGTATGTATCATGATTTTGTTATTGGTAATGTTTTTTCTCACATGAAGTTTCTCATTTTGTTCAAAGGATGTCATAATAATAAGCTTATATTTGCAAGTAAAATTCTGAAATTGTACATACTGTAAAAAGCTATCTTTTGTTACTATGTTGCATCGTACAACCTAAAAATATATTTGCTAAGCAACCACTGGAAACAGATAAATCGAATCAAACTCTAACGTATTTGGGTATCCATCACCATAGCTTTTTAATTCATGTTCATGTATGTACAAAACATCTTATTTTAATTTTGTTTCTGCATTATTTTACGTTTAGGTTCCAAGATCGAGAAGGAGATGATGAAGAGTGCATATGTGACGGTGGAATTGAAAAAAAAAAAAAAATATGATTTGCAATTTGCAATTGCAGAAACAAAATATAGCCTTTAAAACCGCATCCTTCAAAATCAATCATCCATATTCAAATCATTTTAATGGGGCATATAATTCGTATTCCTCCTCTTATTTAAAGAGTATAAATCATCATCCAACTATTGCCCTACTATCTAATCACCGTAATTTTTTTATCAAGATGGTAAGTATCCATTACAATTTCAATTTTGATAATCTGATACGCAGCAAGTACATCATTGACACTTGCTTTGCATTTGGATCACATTGTTCTAACTTTGTAGATTTTTTAAAAGCTTTTGATGTTCTGAAAAATTATTGTGGTGGTGATAGGACACAAAGTTATGGTTTGTAGAATGGATCGTGTATGCTGTGAAACAAGGTTGTGGACGGAAAATGCAAATATTAACCAGTTGACTCATGTTCCTGGTCAACCATATTATTAGGTAGCGAAATCAAACGCCCCATTTTATATATTTTTACTTTTATTTTTCATGAAATGATTCAGCTTAAAAAACATTAAGCTTTTATTCGTTACTTCTTTTTTTAGCTGTCTATTTATATGGTTAGATAGATGAAGTTTTTCTTAAAAAAATCAAGATCCACATCTATTCCTTGCATATGGTAAGTAGCAGATTCTTGATAATCTTTTTTTAGAAAGATGGAGTTTTGATTCTTTACTTATTTCTTCCTGGATTGCATTTTTGGTCCTAAAACTATATCTTCAAAAGAGACAAGCCCACCGTGAAAAATTTCATGTCTTTTATGTTGTAATGTGTAGAAAATGATCCATTATAGTTGATAGTTTTATCTTTATCTGAAATTTTTACCAATCGACTGTTATATTTGACTATGTATGACCTTCATGATTGTCGCAGTGCCATTGATGACAAAAGCTTCTTTATTAATAGTCAACTTCATTACCGAGGAAGACAATTTTGTAATTTTGGCTGTAAGATTCTTTCAGCAGTTGTTATCATGAGTTACTTTTACTGTTAGTCAAAGTTGCATAAAAACATTAATCATGAGATCTTCATGTTTTTGGGTGAGATTTTCCTTCATTTAATTTCTAATTATGTATTTGATCTT